TGTCCAATAGAATAACGGTAGCGCAGTGATCTGAAAATCTTCAGGAGTCAGAAACCAGCATCTTGCGTAATTCAGCGAAATGGTCCATTTGATGTGGAACCTACCAAAAACTTGCTTCCATGAACTTTTCTCAATGTGAATGCTGGCATGTTGGAGAACAACAGAAATCTTTAACACACACCCGAGCCCGTGCTTCTTCGAGAAATGCACTGTTTATCGAAGAAGTCAGTATCGTTCAATATAAATCTGATGCGCCGTTTCAAGTAAGTCATACGTCATTGTGCCGGACCACTCTGCCTATGTCTTTTTATTTACAGTTCATATCATCGCGAAATAAAAATAATAATGATAATCACAGAGCATTACAGAAGTAAAGTGAGTGACTGATAAAATGGCTCATTTACGGTGTCTATTCTTAGATGGCAATGGCAAAAGTAATGGCTCTCGATGGCGAACCATCAAGGTTTCTTAGAACCTGAAGTCTTTGCCTTTCATAGAACTCACACGTTCAACGTTTTACCCTATTCGTTCTAACATCCTGCCGGTGTTTCGACTCATGGCCGTAACAACACCAGTTTTACATGCTTGTAAAGTGCTCTCAAAATATTGCAGAGCTAATTCTTTAGATTGCGAAAAGAAATCGGCCTTGTAAGTGCAACTATCAACATGACTTTCTTCAGCACACTAAAAATGGCTAATGTAGTGCGGCTGAAACGTCGGCACTTCTCTAACAAAGATCACCACTGAAATGCCAATTTCTTGAAGAAGAAGATGAAGCAAAACTTTCCTTTCCTTCCTCGAGTGAAAATGAAACCGAAAAGTACTTCACACCGCGTACCTGGCATTCGAAGTGCGACGGTTCTCCCTCGATGACCGTGACGTCGTTCAGATGAGCGGTGAACTGCGGCGGAGGATAGACCTTCTCGGGTTCGAGTGGTGCTTCCGGTTTGGCGGCCTCCAGTGTCTGGATCTTCCGCCAACTCGACTCGTGCTGGGTGTCTGACACGACCGCGTTCTTGGCCAAGATCTTGACGGTGCACGACGAGGCGGCCTCGCCAGCGCTGTTGCGCAGTCTGACCGTGTACATGCCGGAATGGTGCGCATACGCCTTGACGATGTCCAACGTGGCGACGCCCAGCTCGTAGTCAGTTCTCACCAACTGACTGGCCATTATCGGCTGGTTATTGCGGAACCACTGCACAACCATCGTATTGTCCTTCTCCGGCTGGCATAACGCCTCCAGGTGAACCGTGGATCCCTCAGGCAGATTGTCGTAGTCCTTCAACGTCTCGATGATCTGCGGTTTCTGCACCGGCTGCACCTCCTCCACTATTTCCATCTTCGGTTTGTTCTCTATATCTTGGATCTTCTGCCAGCTGGTCGGGTGATGACTTTCCAAGTACACTGACTCGTAGCCTTTCACCTTGACGACAGCCGACGCCGCCGCCTCACCTTTCAGGTTCGACACTCGGCATGTGTACACGCCGGAATCCAACGGTTTCAGGTCATCGATGTCAAGACTGCGAAATCCAAAGTCATCGCCCAGTCTGTACCTTGATGCTACAATTTTCCGTCCATGTTTAGTTCACACGCTTCCGTCACAACAAACAAAAATAACACACTTACCTTTGGGCAACGGTTTTCCGTTAAGCAACCATTCTACACATAGATTCGGGTCGTTCACCGGTGTCACTTGGCATTCTAGGTGCAAGGTTTCTCCTTCGTTCAAATCTTCATAGTTCTGTAACGAAGTGACGATGACGGGCTTGTCGAAAACGGCTTCAGGTATCTCCTGCTTCGGAAATTTGTCCAAGCTTTCGATTAGCTGCACCTTCCTGTAGCTTTCGGGATGCTGACTTTGGGACAAAATGTTGCCCTTTGCTTAAAAACAAAAAATTCAGAATCGAATAAGAAAATTAATCATTTATTTAAATAAAAAATTCACTGTTTCTCTAATAATAACAGCGTGTTGATAAATAATTCCACATTAGATAAAATATTGTTCATATTATACAAATGCATCACTGAGACAAGAAGGTTATAAGAGGATGTTGAGCCAACAAGCGGTGAGACATTCTTTAGTTTTATTCCAGGTTTTAAGTGAAAAATTATGATGTAGGCTTCACAATAAAACATTGTATAAAACGTTTCTCGCGTGAGAAAACTGAAGAACGCCATACCGATTCCTGAGTAGCTACGCATTTTTTATTACTGCAATAATAAGCCTCTTTTTATGTCCTCCCCCATTTTCCTATAAAGCAACTTACGGCGTCTCAGTCAACCTTTGCGTTGGACATTGTAGATTGTCTGCTGCTGTTCTTCAAATCTTCTTTAGACATAATTAACAGTGACATAAATTTCATCTTCATGGAATCAAGAGGCTACTTGACTATGAGATGCTTCACAACAGAAGAAAATTGTTTGAGAAAATTTTGAAGAGGTAAAGTAATACTTTTTATGATTCTACTGATGACGATTATCTCTTTTGACAAGGCGTATTTCTACTTAGACTTCTACCTCAATGCTCCTTCTACGATACTGTAACTGTTGTCTTATGTAAGAAGAAACTGGCTGAGAATACAACGGACAATACAAACCAAAAATGTTCTTCTATTACAAAACGCTCGAGGTTTTAATCATAACGACAAAAATCTTGATTTTATTACACATCATGACGGTAGTTGTACCGACCACAGATCAGGAACGATTATCGCACAAAGTAGAACATATATTCTGGAAGTATTCCGAATAATACAAAGTATCCGTGAAAGTGAAAAATGGCATAAAACGATTTATTTTGTACACAACGCCAAAGGTGATTTATTTGGCCGGTACAAATGGCTCAGGTACATTGACAGTCTGGCATTGGTGAGCACCAGTCTGCTATATCTGAATTCACGGGATGTTTTGGTACGATTCTAGGAATAAACACATGTGAAAGTAGTGAACGATGTATGTCTTTGAGATCGTTCTCCTCGAGACGAAGCAACCCTCCATGGCTTGGAGGAAAAAACCGCCGAAGAAGAGATGGTCATGACTAAGCTCACTGAGGTAACCCCTGAGCGAGCCAAGCCTCACAGGACCAGTCCTCTCGAACTGAATTCGGTCTGATGAAAGGCAAACGGGCATTTCGTCCAAGACGCCTGCCGTTCCAGTTACGTAGTATACAACCTTAAAAAAACCATTAATATATATTTTGTAGGCTAACATGATGGCCAAAGATAATGATGA